GGTCGCGTGCAAACACAAAGCAAGCATTCGGGGAAAAAAGTATGTTTGCCGACGGTACGAAGTTTGTCTCTGAATACAGAAGAGTTGCAGCGCGAACTGGTGCGCGTTGTGGTGTGTGTACAGTTGGCCCCAGAATTACGAAACTTCCGGTTCGACGGATTATGATCCAAATATGAGGCGATGGGGGGGGGGGATAAATAGAAAGGTCCTTCGCTTATTTCGCACCACACGATCCATTTTGTATCTTGCTAGGAAGCGCAGCCACTATTACAAAGAACACACAACACAAGCGCTTAACTTCAACTTTGTGTTCTTTGTAATAGTGGCTGCGCTTCCTAGCAAGATGGGTCCTTACCAACTGGTCCGATACAATTGTTTATTGAGTTCCATTTTGTATGTTCCTGCTTGCCACATTGTGAGCACTAATGCATCACTGTGGCTACGATGTTTAACGCGTAGCTTCCGTTTGCGACAAAGTTAACAGTGCCCCACGTCAGTCTTATGTAACAACGTGGTTTGTGATGCTGGTAAGAAATGCTGTGAACGCGATGCGCCATGATGTCGGATTCTGCGGTTATACTCATTTCCACCCGTTATTGGTGCACGCCGAGTCGCTCACAGGCGTCGCGTAGCCGTGACGTCAGAAGCACCCCGCAGTGACGTCATTCAGCAGCGTACAGAGCCACGTACAAACCTGTCTAACCCGACGGACACAGCGATCTCGGAGGAAACAGACTGCGAAGTCCCTGAATTGCGTTCTCTCTCCTCTTAGGCTGAAAACAAACACAGATCTGTTAGACGAGAAACTTCGCGGGCGGCAGCAGTGGTGCAGGCACACTGACACCTTACAGTGATTCGCTGAAACACGATTACTTAATTACAGACGCTTATTTCATTGCATTACTGTTATTGTTAAAAAGAGAATTTTCACTACCCTGATAAGCGCCATTACTGACATTCTCTACCTGTCGAGGCTTACCAGGGCTGCACAAGTCCGCGTGTATGAAACGACTTTTCTTTTTAAATTGAGCCTGTAGGGTACTTGCCGCGTTATAAATCTGACCGTGGCAAGTCAGATAAAGGGACACTTGGTTATAACTTATAACGCGCCAATAAGTTTACCGTACCAAATGTAAGCTTTCAGGCAGCTAACTGGAACACATTACCGACGGCCACACACGTTTAAAGAAAAAACAATGTCGTATGAAACAGGCTGTCAAATTATACTCGTAGCAACGGTTACGCTATTCGCGGTGGAAACGTAGTTCCATTCCGCGTCGAAATAATTAAATCATTCACAGATTCGTAAGCACGGGAAAAATGACGGCGGGGAGCCGGACGAATGCATCTTCTATAGACCCCAGCCGTGCGGTTTCTGTAAGAGACTGTCTTGTGGCTCTTTCTGTAATTCTCTGCCAGCTGCGAGAATTCACGCATGGCATCACGTAGCAAATTAGTTCTTCGCTCGCGGCCATGTCTTCGCCTTCCCAGCCGGCCGTGGCTAATAACGCCATCAAGTCTGGACAGTGAGGGTGCGAGAAAACGAAAAATTGATCCCATCAACTTTGGTCTGCGTCTTATGCGTGACATACTTTCTTTTTTTTTCCCATTTAGTCGGCGCCCTCGTCTGTGCAACCGTCCGCCAGGTGGCGGCGGCATCGAAGTGAAAACGTTAACCTCTCACACTTCGTTTCGACTGAAAGAGATGACTGGCAGCTCGCCTCGACCGAAAAGCCAGGCAGTTTTTCACGCATGAGGGCTTAACTTCCTTTATTATGTATAGAAATCGTACCCCGCCGAACACCAAAGTCAAGCTCCCAAGGCAAAGTAACAACAGATGGCGCTGCTCTGCGGCCGACGAAAAGTGGTGCTCACGCTAACAAGACTTCGTACTGCTCATCCATATGTCTGTCTCACTTTTCATGCATGTGAAGGATTTCATGTTGTATGGCCGAAATCAGTTGTCCATCTCCGTGCAGCCAAGGCGAAACGACAGCCGAGGTAGCTATGCTTATGAGTAATCACGAGCCACGGTTACGTACAGGATCGTACAAGCTGCTTGAAGCAACGTCCAAATAGGCTATATACCATCCGGCCGTTATTACGTCAGTTACCGTGGCAAGGATAGCTGAAAAGTGAGGTCTTTGGTCCATATGACCTTGAAAGAAACGAGAAATGCATGTGTCAAAAGGCTTACGTCTCTTTTAGCGCTTCGCAGTCAAGGTACCGCTATCCTTGTCCCAGATTAGGCCCGTAAGCAGAAGGTATTATCAATACTTTCTTATTGAAAGATTTGCCTCCAGTTATTAATGTAAAGGCCAATACAATCGCTGAAATAGCAACAATGCCTTTTTTTTCTTAATATAGGATGACTTGCACAATATACTGCACTGTACGGCTGAACCTGACAACAGGAATCGCACATCGATTTTAAAGATCAGGTGCAAAAGTGCATGTGGTCTCGCCGGCGTTGTATACGTTTCACTGCAAGCTTTTCGCTGTCTACGATTTGTACGATTCGATACGACAAGCACAAATTAACATATGTTTTAAAGAAGCTAGGCATACCTAACCAATCCTCGAGCGGCGCACATCTTTGTGTTCCTGTCGTCAAGTTTACCTCAAGGTTTTTTACTAAAGCGTGTAGCATTTTCAACTAGCAATTGTCGCCCATCACTTCACACTTCATTAGGTACGACACTAAGGCGACATTAACATTAGGTACCAAGCTAACGTGGAGCCTGTAAGAAGATAACGGAAAAACTCCCTCAATCGTTTCATGAGTGATAATTCTAATTTCCTGTACGTAACCATTTCAGTGAAGCATATACATTCAAGAATCACGTGTCAGAGCGCTGAGAACACAGAGCATCAAGTGGGACACTTTATCTCACAGTGACTACACAGTCGTTTGATCTCTTGCGATACACCTTGGTGTAAATGTCAAAACAGCGCGTGCTTATGCGTTTCAAAAAAAAAAGCGGCTTATACCCAGCGATGGCGCGAAAAGATCAGGACGTCAAAGCAAGCATCTCATTTAAATAAGCAATAGTATGCGCGCTAAGAAAGTGACAAGTGCGGCGAATTGGTAACCTAACTGCCCTCACCACGCAATTTCTCTTATTGATATGTCTGCAGATTGATGTGCACTGACGTTCTTTATGAAAGGGAACACGCGAACGCGTGGCCTGCGCTCTGCGGAGACTGCCTACAGCACCATCAACCGACAAAAGAAGAAAGCACGTTCGCTTTTGGCGTCACCTATGGCCAAGAAAGCTAACGTGTTATGGCCGGTAGACAAGCGCTGCTAGATTAGCTTCCCTCATCACTCGCGCGGCAGGCGATATCGGGCGATTACTGCAGCTTGCACAATAATCGCGAACAACGTCTGATGTGTTGGCAAGGGACTATGCACTGCAGGCGTGAGCAGCGAGGGAGTGCAATCTAGCAGCGCTTGTCTGCCGGCCATAACTGGTTATTATGTTTTAGGGGCGAAGCTCCTTAGGGTGTGGGCTGTGCGTCCCCTGTAGCCTGTATGTAGCCACCTCTAGTTTAGTTCTTGCAGTGTTCACTAGATGGCGGTACCGTCCCCTGTATGTAGCCACCTCTAGTTTAGTTCTTGCAGTGTTCACTAGATGGCGGTACCGTCTCCTGTATGTAGCCACCTCTCGTTTAGTTCTTGTAGTGTTTACTAGATGGTGGTACTTGTAGCTGATGATGAAAAGATGAAAGATGTTATAAACTCGCCAAGATCCTGCAGTACGTGAAAAAGAGGCCGCAGCGGCACGGCTGCGGCGTGAACAGGACCTGCCGAACGCCACACAACGGGAAGCGGCGAGAAAGCGTGCGTATCGACAGGCGAACCCCGAAGCGAGAGTTCGAGAGGCTTCTGCAAAACGCGCCAAGAAAGAACACGAAGGTGCCGACGCGCGTTTCAAGCGCGACTTCATTCATAGACAGACACTGCGTTACGAAATTATGAGAACAAATACAAGAATGGACCATCTGTACTACTTGGAGACTTTAACGTGGCTATCATAGACAATAATTGGCTTATCCAACATATGGCTTCTAGATATGCACTCAGACGTATATCGTTTGACCATATGAAACCTACCACGATCCGAGGAACATGCATAGACCTAGTATTTGCAAATTGCCCACTGCTACCCATTCAGGAACCGCTCTCCCTTCATTTCACAGACCATAAAGCCGTCATAATGAAGGGACATCGCAAGCCATCCATCGTCTAAGAACAAATAAAAGTTGATTTGTGTATTACACAGACAGCGTTTCTCACGTCTTTACATGATGATCGACTGGGCGAATTACACGGAAGATTCACAGTTTACCGATGAATCCCTCCGGAGCTTCGCCCACTCATCATCATTCACCCCGTGAATATGCCGTAATTTTTTTTTCCGCAAGACATGACGCTGAAAGCGAACGTGTATCCTTTTGCTGACGGTTGATGGTTCTGTAGGCAGCCACCACACGGAGTCACTGGAAAATTTTCAAAATTTTTCCAGTGACTCTACCACCGCAGAGAGCAGGCCACGTGTTCGCGTGTTCCCTTGCATAAAGGACGACAGTGTGCAAATGCAGATGTGGTTTTGTCGGCGACAGCAGTGGTCTTTCTCTTCTCTTCTGTCGCCTTTATTCCCATTTCCCTGTGCAGGGCAGTCTATCTCTTGGTTAACTTTTCTGTCCTTCTTTTATCCATCTCCAATTCAGATTTGTCCTTTTCACCACGTGATGTGCTGTCCTCAACGGCCTCTGCAGCTTCCATTCCGGATATATCGACGGATGAAAAAAATGACGCTGTAAAACTGCGCGCAGCCTCATTTTGATGGATGGGATGATACAATCGCACCGAAGAGTTACGAGAAGATGTCTCGCAGACAAGCGTGTCCTTTGCTCGAGCAGCGAGTGAATCGTCATAACTGTGTCGCATACGGCGACCATGCTGTGTGTCGAAACAAAAAGAAATGAAACGTACATTTGGCATGGATTCTCTTTCTTAAAAGTAAAGGTGTCATGGCGAAAGAACACTGACTTGGAAACCTTCATGCAGCTGATATTGCACACTGAAAGTTGCTTGTATGCGCGCTTGTAAATCGCGATACCCGGACTTCCAGTTCTCCAAAACACACTCTCGAACACCAGCCATGAACGCCCTTTGAGACAATTGGCTTACGCGACGTACGCAACGTATACCAAGCAAAATGCTAAGCGGAATGAAATAATTGTACGCTCGCAGCATAGCATACGGTATTTAAGATGTGTGTGCCTCAGTATCTTTCAGTAGCTCCAATAAAGCCGGACATCCCCAGAAAACAGCCACTTCAACAATGTGCAGTTGCCACCAGTGATGATAAAAGCGAGCACTCTTACATTCTAAGAGGGAAAAAAATCATTTGACTCCTTTTGGAAAGTCTTGACTTGTCATGTGTATGACTCTTTTTAAAGAGACACGTCAAATCTCTATGTAGGGTCATTATACTCTATTCAGGTAGCCTTGTGACCACCAAGACAGTTAACGTGCTTGTTTGAAAAGAGTCATTTACACGGCAAGCCAGAACTGTAAGAAGAGAGTTAGATGACTGTTTCTCTTTTTCTTTCAGTGTACAAAAGTTACACTAACAACACATAGCGACCGCTCTCTTCACGTTGCCATCCATGCCACAGCGTTCCGAATCGAGTGCGCATGCACCGGTTGCGGTAACTCCGCCCCGCTACGCTGTACGTGCCACTAGCGCCCGCCATATTTTTTCTTCTCTCACCCTCAGGTGTCATACAAAGGCGGTATTCAAAACGCGCCTCCCAACCCCGAAAAAAAAAAGAAACTGTTTCTCAGTCCGGACAAAAATATAATGGCGTACCACTGCCGAATTCGCTTTCAGTCGAACGTATCAAAGTGCCTGAAGCCACTTGGTCCAGCGAACGAGCACAACTAGCTGCACCATTTGACTAATCCGCGCGCGTTATTTCCAGCGGGGATGAAAGCACGCCCGAACACGTAAAGCGTATAAGCGCACGACGTAACGTATCTCCACCGACGAAGAGTCCTCGCAACCAAGTATAGAAGCCGTCGCCTGCAGCCGGCGCTCGAAGCAGTGTGCACACAATTGGACCGTCGCATGCTCTTCGCGGTGTGTTCTCGACGTGCGAGCCGAAGGGAGGCAGCGGCAGCCTATTTCTTGCGGGCGTCCTTGTAGACGTCTGCGACGACGGTGACCACCAGCCTGAGGGTCTTCTCCCACGCGGTCACGGCGGCCGGCGTCATCTTGCCTCCTAACCGCTCCTTCAGCGTGTCCACGATCACGACCATCGTGTGCTGTGGGAGAGAGAAACACCATTCTTCAACATTTCTTTCACTTTTAGAATAAACAGATATTTCCATTAGATAAGCGTGTGTTACAGAGTATGCAGTCCACAGGAGTGCTGTTTGTGACTTTGTCTGCAAATGTTCAAGCTTAAGGGGTAAGAACGTGGCCTCCGAAAATTTTTTTTGCGACGCAACGCGTGATTAGGAGTAATTGACTGATTGATTGATAAGTAGGGTTTAACGTCCCCAAACCACCATATGACTATGAGAGACGCCGTAGTGGAGGGCTTCGGAAATTTCGACCACCTGGAAGTTCTTTAACTTGCACCCAAATCTGAGCACATGGGCCTATACAACATTTCCGCCTTTGTGATAAAGAGTGCGACATGCACACAACTTGTCCGAGAGTTGCCGCTCAAAAAAACAAAAAAAAAACACGAAGGAACGGGCCAAATCGGCAAGAGTTTCAACTAAAGGGTGTTTTTTTAGTCATATGCACTACAGGGTATGCGGCCGCGGACGCACGAGTCTAAGGAAATTTCGTTTCTGTCGAGTCTTGCACGTCGCCTGAGGGTTTATATCATTGTGCAAACAAAAATTGTCCCCGGCACCGGGAAAGCTGGTGTTGTAGTATGCGTCCAAACGGTTAGCCGGTCCACTTGTGTTCCTGCGTGAATAGCAGCGGCATTGTACCACTCCTGGTGTTGTAGGCCAGCAACTTCCAAGTAGTAGACACCTGTATTCTGTCCATATCGTATAGCTACAGCGCCCGAGCTCCCACACGACGTCATGCAGTGTGTTCATCCCTGTTCACTTCAGTGGACATAAGGGCTATGCACCATGGTTCTGCCATCACCACCCGCTCCTGTTGGTGGACGCCGTGGTGCATATGCAGTCGCGCTAGCATATTATGGCCGGAATTTGTGTGCGCCAACCATGAGCACTGGTTGAGATGATGAGCCGCATTTCTTGAGCTCTTGATATGAGTTAATCGCGCCAGAAGCATTCAGACGGCTGTTAGACGTTAGAGCTTGGGCTCTTGATCTTCCGGTCTTTACATCTTTCTAATGACACGCTTCGATTTATTCATGTTTGCGGAGGTGGGGGTGAAGGACGGAGTATACATGATCCTGTTGGTTACGGAAGCGTGCGCCAGCCGCAACGCATCTTTGCACCGACGACCCCTGCCTCCTTGTTGGAGTTCCTTCGCATCATGCGACCCGCCTCTTGGTCACCTATCTTCCTGATTTAAGTCAGTGTTGGATCGATGCGGAGCTGTTTGTGCACGCGTAAGAACAAGACCCTGATCTCCTTCGCACATCTGATGGGGAAACGCATGAAGCGTGATGGAGATATCTTTGTCGTCTTTAGACATGTCTCAGATGTGTCTGAATTAAGGCTTACATTTAAATGAGTTTTGCTGAAACCCGCAAGGTCGCGTAGGGGTTAAGAACGCTGGACCAGGATGAATTTTCCGGCTGTCAAGAAACTTTCCTTTCTGAGAAATCCGTGCGGATTTCTTTGTAGTTTCGTGCTACAAACTGGTGGTTGTCTTTTTTCTCTTTTTGAATTAAGACTTGTTGGGTGCGCATTGGAGTTAAGCGCACCTCGTCGGTGTGCACAATTTCTGTAGCTTGGTGCAGGCTCAGTCGCACCCAAGTTCTCTTGTGTTGCCCGAACCGTGATGTCATCTGCATAGAGGGCATTACGAATTCCCTCAATGCGGTCTCACGGGACAGCGTTACACAGGCTAGTCAAAGAGTAGCTAAGGTACTCGGCTGCTGACCCGCAGGTCGTGGGATCGAATCCCGGCTGCGGCAGCTGCATTTTCAATGGAGGCGAAAATGCTGTGGGCCTGTGTGCTCAGATTTGGGTGCACGTTAAAGAACCCCAGGTGGTCTAAATTTCCGGCGCCCTCCACTACGGCGTCTCTCATAATCATATGGTGCTTTTGGGACGTTAAACCTCACATATCAATCAATCGGGCTAGTCAAAGAGCTGCTTCGCATCTAAAAAAACAACTTCTCCCGTTTCACAAGTGTTCACTGGCCACCCCGTATGTATGGGCGCTGGAACCTTAACCTCCACGGTAGCGGCGGTGGGAGATTTCTCCTGTTCGTTGTTGAACAGTAAAACTTCGCAGCGTGCGCGTTAACCAAAAGCGCGCTGTCAATATATGTGTCCAACGGGAGTTTTCTGTCTCTCATTGCCCATTAGCAGCAATTGACATGTTCCAGTAAGAAACAACGGTACATCACTACATTCGTTGCTCCTGAGGTTTTTCTCCTGCGCAACGTTAGCGCAACGCCGCGATGAGTGTTTCGGTTAAGGTGTCCTCAGTGAGACAGTTATCGTGAACTCCTCCCACATTTCCCCACACCATTCCCTACAACACTCTTGTTTTCTGTTCTTTCCTTTTTAATTGAATGAATAACGCATCCCCGTCTTCAGCTCTGCCAAAGCTAAGCACGAAGGCACGAGAAACTGCGCGAGGTTGAAACAGCTCCGCGGTAATAAATGCGAACCGCAAAAAGCGTGCACGCTTTCGGCACAGCCCAACTCCGACATGCCTTGCTGTTCCCAGCCAAATCAGAAGAGCTGTCAGCTGGTATCGCCGTAGCGGTAGCGCAGAAATCTCGCTCAGGCTGGCACTATCGCAACGCACGTGCGCTCCGAGTGGTAAGCACGGCTGGAAGATATGATAAGCACACGCGGTGCGATAGCGCATGCCGGGGCAAGATTATACGGCGCTACTGTGACGCCGCGGCGGGAGGCACATATTCGGATATATACCGACAGCATGCCGGAGTTGCACTGTTTCAAAAAAAGACGCTTTCCGCGGTTTGCGTCTCCGTTTATCGTAATGGTACATACGTAGAGTGCTGCATAACACGTCGCACATCTGCTTCTATAAGCGTTCGAATGCTCGGTGAAATCAAATTGCACCTTATTTCACTGCAGTCATAGTAGAGTTCGACGGAAGACAGAATGCCGACGTTGTTCCCGCTGCATATTGCGGTGAAGTCGAAGAGTTGGGGATCGATGGCCCCACCGCGGTGGTCCATAGTGGCTAAGGTACTCGGCTGCTGACCCGCAGGTCGCGGGTCGATTCCCGGCTGCGGCGGCTGCATTTTCGATGCAGGCGGAAATTGTTGTAGGCCCGTGTGCTCAGATTTGGGTGCACGTTAAAGAACCCCAGGTGAGCGAAATTTCTGGAGCCTTCCACTACGGCGTCTCTCATAATCATATGGTTGTTTTGGGACGTTAAGCTCTACAAATCAATCAGAGTTGTGGATCGATGAGCACCTAGCTATGAAATGACAGCGCAACGCAGCATCCTTTATCACTATCGCAGCCTGGCGAGAGATGCTTGTAACGAATGGAAGCGTAGTGCTCATAAACAACCAGAGGTCATGTGACTTGAGCAAAAAACGTTGCGTGTGACGTCGTAATGCCGCCGTACAACTCGAAAAAATTGATGCAGCTTTGCACTATATACAGGGTGTCCCACGTAACTTTAGCCAGAGTTAAACAATATGCCAAAACACGTAATTACGACGCGACCAACTGCATGTTGCTCACTGTTGCCTAGATTTAGTCAGACTATTTTTTGTGTCCTCAAATATTGTTTATTAGATTTGTTTAATTACCTAACTTTTGAAGAAACGAAGATTGATCAAGAATTCCGATGAGAAAGTTGTAGATTAGTTTGCGAAACGTCCAAATAAATAGCTTCGAACTTTATATCTGTTAAGTATAAGTGTTGTTCTTCTAATTACAAATGCCTGCAAAATACAAAAAGTACCACGTGACAAAACCGTTCGTGCGCCACTGCGCACGATGATTCTAGTGCTCTCCAACGTTCCGCGTACGAAAGACCATAACATTGTCCTCATTGTGCTATCTCCACAACGATGGTGGTGGCTTTACGATGAACACGTTTTGCTATTGGCCACAAAAACAATAACCGCTGTGACAGCTTATCGCTGTCGTGAACCGGTGCTAGAGAAGCGTGTCGTTTGTACGCGGAACGTTAGGGAGCACTAGAATCATAGTGCACATTTGCGAGTGGCTTTTGTGACAACGTTTTGGCTCACCGAGCCTCTGCCCCGCAACACAGGTCAGACTGATGATGATGACTATGTACATATGGTAAGACGACGCGTATGAATAATGCTCACACTTATTCCCCCCCCCCCCCCCCAATGCGTTAGCGGCCAGCCCGGATGCGTCTTAGATGAAAAAGAAACGTCGAACTAATGGCTTCAAACGCGATACGTGCACAATCTCCGAACCACGACAGCGACGATCCGAAGAAAGGTCGGTGGGAGTGACACGATAGTTCACTGGTGACGTTTGTTCATTCATTGTATACGGTCCAATGAAGCTTGACTGAAACATGTCGCACAATCCTGGAGTACGAATGTGCGTCCAAAGCAACACTTCAACCCCTCCATGGACTGAAGGAGAGCCACAATGTATACTAGCCCTGTTTTTCGCTTTCATTCTCTTTCTTTCGCTTTTTCGCGTGTTCGTTTTCGTTTAACGCTCGTACTCGGAAATGGGGATAGGCTAATTTCTGTCCCGCATACCAGCGCGATTTTTTTTGTTTTTTGTTTTGTTCGCGTTGGACAGATCACGACCAGCACAAACAGCTTATCTGTTAATAAAAGGCGACGTTCTGCCCGGCGTTGCAAAAACATCGCTAATTTTTCAGTGCCTGTGGTTGGGCGCTTACTGTGGGGCCAACACCTGAGCCGCGCCAAGTTCGCGGTGCTCAATATTTTGCCAGCGTCACTACCGACAGGATGACGTCACACGCGGCGCTCCTGCCGAGTTCACGTGGTTGTGAGCTGTCTAGGTGCAGAAAGACTCTCCCATAGTCAAAAACACCCAAAAGGCGGTGCTTTGCCACAAAACGCAACATGTAGCCGGCCACAGCGCTTGTCTGCTTTCCTCCAATCCCATCCTCTTTGCACCGAACGTTTGTGACTTTCACCGAGTTGGCAAGCTGAGGGTGCCCGTCCACTGGAAAGATGGAACACTTTTGTAACCAGCCATGGATGTCTAGTAGTTGAGTTACTCGACTGGTGACCCGCCAAATAAAATCTCGGCAACACTTTCAATGGATGGACTAAAATTTATTAATGTCCTGCAAGAAGCACGCGAACACGCTCAGGGCTACCAGGTTGGGACTGAGAGGCCTAGCCTAACAGCCGCATCGCGGGCTTGCTGGACGGCCTATTTCTGATCGGCTAGGCTGGAACTGCGCAAGGCAGTCGCCTACCTTCCCGAGGTAGCATCGGGGTTAGCATAGTTACACATTGTAGTGCACTCCCAGAGCATGTGTCTAACCGTAGCCGGGAGGAGTTTGCATCGTTAGCATATATTATCGTCGAGTCCCGGGTATATGGCGTGGAGGACGTGTGGATTTCGGCATGACTCCGTTTGCAATAGGGCTGATGTGAGTGCTTGAGGCCGACTTAGCTTAGGGCTAGGTGGCGGGAAGACCCGACGGGAGAGGGAGAAGTGCTTGGTAATTTCATTATAGGTGGATGGCGCGTCCCTGTTTTCCATGGCCTCGAATCGGCCAGTATCTGCGCGGTCAGTCAATACGCGCGCAGCACTGTGAGCGAATTCATTGAGGTTGACGAGGCAGCCAGAGGTCTGTCCGACGTGAGCAGGGAACCTAATAGGCGTATGATGACAGAGTTCTTTAGGACTGTTCTAGAGAATGCGTAGGGCCTGCGGGGAAATTCTGCCATTCGCAAAGGACCAGGTTGAAGATCTAGGGTCACTAAAATGACTTCCGCATTGTCGTCTACTATAGCCAGTGCTTGCTGCTGCCAATTTATAAAGTTTGCGGGTATAAATTGGCAGCAGCAAGCACAGGACCGGGTTAACTGGCGGAACATGGGAGAGGCCTTTATCCTGCAGTGGACGTAGTAAGGCTGATGATGATGATGATGATGATAGCCAGTGCAATAGCAGCCTGCTCGGCCATGAGCGGGTTTTTGGTATACAGCGAGGTACAGTTAGTCAGCTCTCCTTTGTGGTTAATAACAACCGCGGTGAATTTGAGACCGATTCGATACGAGGCGGCGACTACGAAACAGGCTTCGCTGTCGTGTTGATGATTTTCGAGGATATAGAGGCGGCTCGGGCTCGGCGTCTAGTGTCATTTTCGATGGGTGCAAAAATTCTACTTAGGTGCACGCTAGAGGCCAACTCCTGCGATTTTTCGATGTCAATGGATCTCAATTAAATTCGCTGGGTACGCTCTTTTGCACATTTCCGTCATTCACGCCAAATTGCAGGCTTGAGAGATGCGCTGATTGTTTGCAAATGGAATTTCAAGGATTGCCTCGAAACGCTTACCTGGCTTGTAAAAATTATTGGCAACACTGTCTGTGTGACGTCATGTTTGGCATGTCAACGGAACTGACGCAGCCGACCGCATCGCTACTTTAGTCACGACAGCGTTTATTCTGCGGCCCACAAGGCGGCGGTGTTTGGCGCGGAAAGGCTTCCTTCATTCCACTGCAGTGTTTTGTCTGCGCATTGCTAGCCTGGCTCTTGCAGTTTTCAAACTCCGCGCCGGCGGGACCAGCATACCGATTCCGGTTCTTACCAAATAGTACGTCATACGTAGACAGTGCGCTTGGTCGGTTTTCGGTATCGCGCCTGTTCGCTTATTGAAATCTTTTTTTTTCAAATTTCCAGAGCATTTAAACTATTGGGCTCGTGACAAGAGTGTCTCAAAAACATAGAAACATCATTACTTTGACATGGTCGAAAAATCTCCGCAGTTGGCTGTGATAAGATTAGTTTGCCGTTCCGGCGCCCGGGGGCGTCGATGTTGCAAGGAAATAAATACGGCGCACATGACCAGCCAGTCTGTGTGGAACCCGCCAACGTACGTGTGTGCGATTCGGTCCAGCGACCGGCATGGCCCAGGACTATCCGGTTATCAAATTGGCCTATCCAGGTTGGTCTGAATTTCCAGAGCCTCCCGCTACGGCGTCCATCGTACTCATATCTTAGCTTTCAAACGTTAAACCTCAACAGTCATTGTCATTACTATTATCTACCCAGACTCAACAAAATTCTGTACAAGAACATGACATGTATGCAAAATCTATCGTATATGGCCGCCCATCACGAATTGCTGCATGCTTTCTGGCACAAAAATCTGGGAAATCGAACTTCGCCCTTCCCTTTGTCACTTTTCGTTCAGCGTATTACCGATGTTTTAGCAAAGATAAGGTTTTCTAGCAATAATTTACAAGTGTATGGACTCACTAAGCGTTCTCTGACACAGTGCTGCTTTCGGTGTTTTCGGCTTAAGGTGCGCACATCTGTGCGGCATAAAGCGTCTATGACACTAATAGCCACAGCATCGTACAAAATATTGGGGACATTTCTCGTTTTAGCGACTAATAATAAAACGCCAAATGAACGAACGGCGTATTAGAGGACGTGTGAAAAGGATACTAGGCGTCATGGACGAACGAGTGTGCCGATTTACGCACCTCGAAGTTTGTGACGGTGACCGGCCGTCGGGTGTGGCTGATGGCGATCTTGCGCACCAGCTCCACCAGGCACTCGGCGTCGTCGAGGCTGTCCACCAGCGACGTGATGGCGTACGCCACGGACATGGCATGCGCGCCCAGCCGAGGGTTGGTGGACAGCGCCTCGGGCGGGACCTCCGCGAACCCGGAGAACAGCTTCTGGTACTCGGGGTGCCGCTGGAACAGCCTGCGTGACGGATAAGAGAGAAGAAGGAAGAGCTCACTCATCCGCGCGAACGCGGTCTTCGATAATTATACCCTCAGGGTCAGCAGGCAATGTAGAAGGGAGGGGCAAAAAACGCGAAAAACAAGACTGCAAGATAAAGAAACAACACAATGTTTTCGATTGTGCCATAATAGAGTTGAATGAGAGGCAGGATGCCGCATGAATTAACAACAGAAATATACATGTGGGAATGCAAACAGCGTAAGTTTTCTGACTATAAATAAATAATATCAAAGTATAAAATACAAGTAATAGTCTATCTATCTATCTATCTATCTATCTATCTATCTATCTATCTATCTATCTATCTATCTATCTATCTATCTATCTATCTATCTATCTATCTATCTATCTATCTATCTATCTATCATACATATATACATAGAAATGAGACACGATTGTATGTTAAGCCGGCTGTTCTCTGACTTCGTTCTTCGCTAATATATATATATATATATATATATATATATATATATATATATATATATATATATATATATATATATATATATTGCCACCTGGTGTTCTGTGCCAGTGAACGAAGAAGACTAAGACGAGCACCCCGTGCTAGCGGAGACGTCCTTCTTTGTATCTCAGATTTTGACAGGCGCGTCTCCTTGTACGTTTCTTCGTGCTCCTAGCGCGTGACAATATATATCTTGATTAGCTAGTTCAAATTATAAACTGGCAGTCCGTCATATAGACCACAGGTGTTCCTATGTTAAGTTTCCGAGGGGTGCGCTAGGTGAAACATTAGCACTTACGCAAACCTAAAAATGCTATATGCATGGGGAAGCAAAACAAACTCACACCTCTATAACTTTGCAGCCTAATTATGGTTATGACAAAAAAAAAACGTGTTTTGCTCGCTTGTAATCTCATTATGGTGCAAAATAAGTGTCTTACAGCGTACTCTGGGACTGCGTATAACACTCTACTGGAATTTGAATACGCGAGCATTCAACGTGAAGGAAGCGTTCTCGGATGAAATGGCATCCGCTGACGCCCATAGCGGCCAGCACGAGCAGCGGCCGGAAGGAGGCGAAGATTGAAGGTTAGGCGCGAAAGAGGGCCCTCGTGCGACAGGGTCACCGCAAGAGAGGCAAGCAAGGAGTGCGGCCGTGAATGCGTACTCCCCACCATTCAGAGCTCCTCGCGCGTTGACAAGTCAAGGCCTGTACGTGTCACCATTCGGGAGCACAGGACGCTCGCATTCGTGGGACTGTCTCTTCGTTTATAGAGCAGCGCGTTCGGGTGCAGCAGACGGTATAAAATACGTATAAGGCCACGCGTGGCGTGCGTGTTTATTCTGTGAGAACGCATTTGAAATAAAGAGTTCTTGTGTCTGTTTACCGGGACCGCACATATATAGGCACTTACGACGGCCAGCGCAAAAAAAAAAAAAACGACACTTTGGGCTAGCCGTGACGAGTGTATAAAAGCGAAAGCCAGATATGCCCCAATAAACGTAAAAATTGACCAGAGTCCCGCGCTGGCGGCGTCAAATACGAGTTATGAAGGGAATCAGCTACACGCGATGACGTCACCATCACAGTTATTGAATCATGCCAGTTGCGAAACTGCGTTCCGAAAAATTGGCAGCCTGTCGCGCCATCTGGGAGCAACAAAATAATGCGTTCAATAGTCAGTGTTCCGGCCAACAGGTCACGCGACAGTCTTCGCACTCCCGCCATCTGGGCCAATGTTGTGCACGGATTTTGATACATGGAACTCATGGGGAGTAGCGAAACTCGTATGATTCAATAACTCTGGTCGCCATACGGCATCACGACGTCACACATTACCGCATTAGTGACGTTACTACGCCACCGTGACGTTACAGTGACGTCACACGAGATAATGATGTCATCACACGGCATCGTAACTTTGCCTGCGTTGGGCGGATCAAGGAGGCAATGCAAATCAATGTAAACGACGTGTCTCTGATCCTGGAGGCTGTAGATTACCACGTTGGGTCCAGAAAGCTTTCGCACGATGGTGAGGCAGGAGTCTCAGCATCAATACCTCGACAGGACAAAATAACAAAACTTTCTCCTTGGTCGGTGAGTACATAAGGGTTTCGTCAGCATTTTAGGAACGGCTCGATTTGCTACCTTAATTAATGGATATGGCAGATACATTATGTATTACTACACAGCCTGAAGAAAGCATGCCACTGTGGACAACGTAAGCGGTGAAGCATCAAAATAAAAATATATTTATGTTCCCCGCGAATACTAAATTAACTTGTAAAGTGCCTTACATCACAGTCATGGCGTTCGCACTTTTGTGTAACACGGTTATACGTTATATTTATTTAAAAATAAAAACTTGAAATTCGGCGAGATGGAGCATTGGAGCTTATGGGAAATTTCAGAGCACGAAACACGAAAATGACAAGAATAGGACAGAACAGATGGCTCCTTCGAAATCATCGCCCCTTCGCCCGCAGCCCATAATAAGCGACCAGCGCAGGAGCAGACAAGGAAAAAAGGAAGAACAAATGTCATCTCCTGAGCTGGCCATTGAAGGTAGATTACCAACTAGACCAATGTGAAAACGTGCAACCGCCAAGAACAAACGTAGTCAAAACCCAACGCATAAATTCCCGCCCATCTGCCACCCGGAAGGATTTCACTGGTCGAGGGTGTCCCCCAGTAAAGATATCCTCGAGCCACCACTGGCTGCATGGAAGCTCGTGTCTTTTACTACAATATAAAATCTGCCACTGTGTGATGATTTTATTCCTGCGAATTCGCCGCTGCTTCCTGGTTGGTAGATTTTAAGTTTTATATGTTTTTCATAGGTGCACCCAGAAAACACACACAAAGATGCCCCCCTCCCCGCTCCCACTTGCACCCTCCTTTCATACATACCGCAGAACTCGTCCGCACCGTGCTAGTCCTTAACACCTTTACGCCTGAACATTGTCCGCCGCATTCCCCAACAACTCTGATTGCCGAGAGTGGTCAGTGGCATGAGTAAGACAGCTACACAGCTGAGGCAACGGCTGGCCATCTTGTTTACGTAGGTGCGCCGTGAAATCATTTACTGGCACAAACAGGGGCGGCGCCAGGGGGGCGCAAGGGTGGGCTGGAGCCCCCCCAAAATTCTCGCCTGCCCCCCCTATGCCCACCCAAGTGCCCGGAAGCATATATTGAAAACCTAGTAGGAGCAGAGCTAGCTTGCCCCCCCCCCCCCCCCCCCCCCCGGAGGAACTCACTTTCCGTGGTTGCCCCCCAGGAAAAACATCCTGGCGCCGCCCCTGGGCACAAATCCAGGCCCACGCGGCTGTCGTAGGTGGAACGACACGAGCGCCAAAAAAAAAAAGAGAACAACGTGAACTTTCGTGGAATGATACAATACTTCAGCGCGTGAGCACCCGCCTGGTTTGTTTTCGTAAGCTACGAGTTGGACGCTTCATCGACGGCGGCGCGCGCTCGATGATCGTGAGACAGTAAACCTATAGGCACCCGGCAATGCAGTTTACGGGATCTGATGGTAACGCCAGAACACACAGCTGCCTAGGGAGTAGACGCAGCGAAACCGGACTTGCACACGGCTATATTTTTTTTTTGTTGTTGTGAGCGTAGCTTAGGTCACAACTGCATATGTAAGCGCCCAGGAAGCGTCCTTTGAAAACGTGCCAAAAAGGGAATTGACACTTCAGCGTGTCACTGTGTTCAACGAGCGTTCCATTTTCTTAGTATCCCTGGCGGTCGGTACCAACAATGCTGAGGCGGCCCGAAAAGCTTCGTCGCGCCCTCTGGTCCACTGTCAGGTGCCTATAGGGGAAAACGATGCAGGGTATGGAAATGACCCTGAGAGTATGCAAGCTTGCGAATATTATGGAAGACCACTGGAAAAACAGACATTCTTTCATACGAACAGATCAGCCTTCTACCAAGCGTGTTGCTAAGGCATATTGCCCGTTGCATTAACTTTTTGCTTTAGTTTTGCATTTATTGCTTATAGTTTATCTTTCGTTGGTACCGAAATGTATGGACAAGTGAGGAGCAGATAATGTTAGACTATGCACACTGTTGTTAATTAAGTTGAATCTTGTATCCTAAACAAATTTATGCATTGTACAGTCAGCGCCGTGAGGTTCAGGAATCACGACATGGCAGAGAGCCTTCAATCTAAATTTACTGTCTGTTCTAAAACGGGCTGACATTCACTGCACAGCGCGACCCAATAGATGTCCCCATTGTGCTGAGCAATCCAAAATTTTCTCACACACAGTCGTCGCTAAACTTCTGACGCACACTGTAAGCTTACTCAGTGGGTTATACGCAACCACGTAGCAGCACAGGTAAACAGGGCGAAAAGGCGCCACCGCGGCCGACCTTCATAGACATGAGATTTTTTTGACAGTGATGGCCGTAGGTCGGCAAAAGCTGCGGAGCTCATTAACGCTCTCTGGTGAAATATGTCTTGTGATTTGGACTCGCTCGAACTCAAACTTGTCAATATTTTTTTTCTGAGCTGGACTCACTCCGACTTACATTCACGACAATCTTCTTCATCCCGACTCACTCGGACTCGAACTCATAACTCACTCAGACTCACGGCTGGATCAGAGATTTCAAGTGAGTCGACTCGAGAGCGAGTTCCCCGACCTATGTCCATGGCCTGTGAGGACACGTGATGTGGCGTTTTGCTTAACTTTCCACCGTTATCCCACGAAGCCAGGTACCTAATGTCAGACCGTAGTGAGGAGCACGGCTCCACAGCATTGCTTTGTTTTCTGCATACATTTCGCACGTCAACCCCCTACAAAATCGTCAACTCCCAGATGTATGCCAAGCTTCCAAAATAGCCCGGCGAAAAGGAAAACAAAAAGCGAATGCATTTGTTAAAAAAATATTTACGATGATACTAAAAAAACTGAAGTTCACGTGTGCAAAGGTGGCTTCACGGCAGTGAATAAAGCTATGCGAAAAAGCTAGCTTCGTGGT